AAAATGAAAAGCTTCAGAAATATTGTATATTGTCTGCTTTCAGATATCAGTTTATTAACTGTTGAAAGTACAAATACAACTTGTCAAAATTACTATTTTAGTCAGTAAATAATTAGCATTCGTAATTAATAGCTATGATGATACATATAAATATGAGTGTTATCTATTTAGTTTAAAATGTTTAATTTGCTCAGGTATAGGTCAATTTAACAGAAACTGTTAGTAACTTAACTGTTTAGCGCATAGCTTTTAAGAAAATTAAATCTGATTGACTACAAATATAGTTGTCTGAATAAAAATTATTTTCGTCTCTCTCTCTCTCTCTCTCTCTCTCTCTCTATATATATATATATATATATATATATATATATATATATAACCTTATGCTTATTATTTATCTTCATTCCTTCCTATGTTAATGTCAGTTATGCGTATCATGTGTATAATAGTTTCATTTTGATTATAAGCACATGAAATACCATTAGTTATTTAATTACGTGAATAAGGATTCTCGGGAGTTGATTCAGAAATACAATCAATCATCATATGGTAGCTTATTTCTTATACTACAACCTTTAGTGTTGATTAGATATGTATGAAATGTATAGTATATAAATATCTCAAGATAACAGTATATGTCTAATATATCTAGTATTTATGACGGTGTAACATTAATCAGTGCATAGCTATGGATTTTACTATAAAAATCCCATTTTGGTGTTGCATCATACAATAATTTATTTGATATTAAAATGAAGAAATAAATTTTCAGATTGAACGTCATCTGACATTATGTTTTTATCTAACAATCCAAGCACTGTCAAGATATCGGCTCTAGTGATTAAGTGCATTGATGTTTGTGTTACGAAACGGATATAATGTAATCATTAATAAACTATGGTTTGTATATATGTTACTACACACATATGTAACAATCAGTAGATAATAATTCAGTTCAGTTATTCTAATATATTTTTAATGAATTAGTTGGTTTAACATGTATCAATGCACGAATTTAATCAGATTGATTTTGTGAAATAAAATAACTAAAGTGTTATCCATAGTACAGGGAACAATGTTTGCCATAAGATGTAGATTGAATAGTTTATTGTTCTCAGAATGGATTTTTATACATTATTTGAATATTCAGCAAGAAACTATTAATTTTTCGCTAATGTCCACTGATTATTTCTCAACTTATGTTATCAAGAAAATTAGACTAATCCTGTAATGGATCTCACTGACTTCTTGTTAAGTGAAACTAAGTAATCACAAATCTTCTGGACAGTACACTTTATTTCGGATAGCTAGTTTCCCTATTTCGACATCATTTGGTATATCATCTAGTTCAAGCCTTCTAAATGAGACCACGTTGTTAGTGAAACTTTGTCTTCACGTGATTATGGTAAATAGTTACGTAAATATGATAAAGATTGAATATTTTAAAAATGATAGGGAAATAAACATATTTTGTTCTAACTGATTCTTCTCATGTTGGGCTAGTGTATATTTTCTATGATATTATTTAGTGAAACGTCAATTGTTAAATACATTTTGTGATAAAATACTTAACAATAATGAAGTTAGTTTGTTACTTTCCAGCAAAAGAAACATTCTTTAAATAACTTCGAGAGGAATAGATTAAGTTTGCGCCAAGTGATTTCAACAAGATACTTTTGAAAGCAATTTTCATGACGAATTGATACGAACAAGAAGACTTTAGGGAAACCAAACAGCATTATACAACTATTTTGTTCATATCTAGAACTCACTAGGAGTCCCCATTCAATAATAAATAAAAATCTAAGAGAAGGATCTATAGGTCTTTGTTTGAAGATGACACGTTTAGACCATTTAGCTGAAATCCAATAGTCCATATATTCAATCTCAGTTGACTCGTAGTGTAGCAGTATAAATCATATTTCTTCTGGCTGGGAGATAGGCTAATAATATTTAATGGTTCAATTATCACGATGCTCTTCATATGAATACATGATTATTCAATGTTTATTTAGAAAAAAATAGACTGAAAAATAAAGTAGCTATTTCTAGGTGAACCAAATAAATCCTCAACTCAGGAATATTCTCTATCCGAACATCCTACGGAAGGACAATTCATGATACGAAATCTATAGGTCTCGTGTCGAGAATGACATAATTAAATCACTGGTTTAAAATCAAAATGATCTACATTTTCAATTTTAAATAAATTTTAATCCAGTTTAATCCTAAAGAAATATCATCTATGAGTTACTGTCTATTAACTATATCAAGATATCAGATCATGACATTCACAAAATCCATTTCTATACCTATTACTAATGAGTAAATAACTATGAGTATATGTGGTTTTATTCACTTACATAAAAATATCTTCATTAAATTTATTCATAATTTACTACTAAGACTATTATTAGCAGTAATACATGAATTAAAGTATGTTATTTTTCAAGATCTTAATAAATGTTTCACATATTTAACTATAGAAAATCCATTAACATAATCCAACACTTCAATGTTTTACTTAAGTAATAATTTTTTTGTTGTTGTTGCTTCCTTTGATCTATCTTATCATCATTACAGAATGAGTGCTCTGGATTTGTTTTTATATTCTTTCTTATTCAAATATCAAATAATCATCTATCTTTTACGTAAACATTAAAAAATATATATAATTCATAATTCACTTATGATTGATTTTGTGTTAAATAAAGTTGTAAAGCATATTCAAGTGTTATTTCTAGGAATACTCATGCGTTTAATCGAAATATCATAATGTTTTTATATGTATGTTGTCAATACTGTTGAATTTTTTTGTTTTTACTAAATCTTTTCTTGTAAATCACATCTAAATGTGTGTTTTGAAGGGAAAAATGATGAGACAACAGGACAAAATGTTAGTAAAAGATTAATTAATTGGTAAGATTTACCTTGGATCTACTACAGATTATATGATGGCAAATAAGACGACCTGCTTGAATATCTGGGCTACCTGTTCCTGCCATATGGATATTTCAACAAGTTATCTATTTTCTTTGTTTGTTTTAACACATCATTATGCCTGTTAGTCTCATAACCTATAAAAGTGAGTTTGTGAAAAGTTGATTATATCTCTCTGTACAAGTTACAAAACAGTCCAAACAGAGACAATGTGGTTGCTGGTTATATATGCATTGTAAAGAATATACATTATTCAGATGTCGATTCCTGAACTGCTAACATCTAACTGGTGATCACTCAATATTTATCGCAAGGGTCGATCAAGAAATAAGAAAAAGAAAACTTGTTGAATTACTTTATGCTGAGAATTCTATGTTGTATCAAAAACATAACATTGAATAAAGCCAATAATAACAATAATAGATTTGTGCAGTTTTAAGTGTTCAATAGATTTATTTTATTTATAACGTGGATCCTCTTCATACAAAACTTCTTGAATTGACAAACAGTAAATAGTCATATGTTTATTGGAAATGTGAATGCTGTATATGTGAATCGCATATGGCTTTGTGATTCTATAAGGTATGTTGATATTATCTCAATTCAAGTACATGTTTAACGGGCTGATTTTTATTACTTTACTTTGGTATTAATACAAGGATTTGAGCATGATGATTTTGTGGAATTTGGAAATATTTATTTGACAAAACTGAGAAACTTATAAGAAATTGCTAACTATGAAGAGTATTCACGTTTATTTATATAAAAAATTCATAAAGAACAATAACATGTTTTTTGAAGGAATTAAATGGCTTCTATATCTCACACTTTCAATGCCTTTATCGTTTAGTTCTGGAAATACCAGGGTGAATAAATTATAAAAAGCGCAGCATCGCCAAATTATTCAGTATTATTCGTTAGCTGTCTTTGTAAACATCGGTGGCTGAGAATCAGTTTATACAATTTTATATTTATCAAGCATGCTACCTAGCTCACTCCTAATGCATTTGACCTTACCGTGTAACAAGTCGAAAGTAACGTCCGAATTATGATAAGAATTCCTAATGTCTCTAATAAACTTTAAAATCCATTCACATCATACATCAGATAAATATTAGTTGATTTAAACATCAGTTTTTTTATTTAATAAAAAGCTTGACAGTTGTCATGGTAACATACACTTTAGATGCTCCACAATATTGGATTTATACGTACGTCCTTTAATGTAAACTGAGAATCAGTGTAGCAGTAAAATGTCTTGTCAAAAAAACATTCATAAGGAAAACAAACTATGCAATTTGTTTATATCCGAACAATTAAAGGAAAGTAATTGATAAAGTGAGGACCTTCACAGTGATACAACGGGGGAGTGTAACTGACATCAGTTTTATCAACAATTATTTATCATCTTATCAATACGTTCCAGTATTCTTAATATAAAATTCAATTTATTCAGTCGGTTGATTAGTGCTGTTGTCTTATGATTTATCTTCAGCTGGTTTTGGTTGGTCGATTTCTTTAGTGAATGAATTTCATTCCAAACATTTAATTCAAATAATTGTTTGACCATGATTTATCGAAGTGATATTTTAAAATAATATCACAGTCAGTCGAAAGGATGTTTCTACAAAAAGTCATAAATTTAGTCACGCAAACAATGTAAACCGAGAAGGATAGTTTAGCGATTTCTTATAAGTTTACTAACCAACTGCTAAACTTAAGTCATATTATTTTATGTTACATAGTTGAAGTTTTAAACTGCGCTATCATTTGAATGATTTTTAAAAAAAAATGTTTGAAACGGCTTTTATTAATGGTTATTTTTTTGATTAGTTTCACCATTTAAGTGTATCATGTTACTAGTAATAAAATAAATTTATTCACTGATCAGTTGTGCTACCGTTTGAAAACTTTACCCAGTCACACAATATATCTTCATTAATAATAGCCATAAATTGTGCGTGTAATCGGAATGCAGTGATGTACTCATTACTTGTTCAGCTTTAACTTGTGGGTAAATGTCTATGCATTTTTATATTTTCTAAAAAAGTAGAACATTTAAAGGTAGCTTTTATTTTCTAAGTTATTTTTAGCCTAGTACTTAATTGTACATAACCAAGAAAGACTTGATATGGATAAGTTGAATCAGTCTGTAAGGAAGATTAAAGAAAGAATGTTTAATCGTAAATTAACAAAGTAGATTGTTCACTCCACATTACAGGTAGCATGTTGTTGGTATGTATATTATAGGAAGTAGGTAGTGGGGATAATACAAGTTTGAGGGAGGTTTATGGATAAAACAGTTACGAAAATTGATGATATTCATCCAGTTAAATTAAAAAATAAGTTGAAATCAATTATATGTTGTAGTTAGTCATGAATAGGTTGTAAAAACAGTTGTAGTATGTTTCATGTAATGAGAACAAGAGTTAGCTCTCCGAATCTCTTTTTTATCGATCTCGTTTTCGATTTTGTAAATACACAAAAGATAAAACAAATACTAGAAAATATGTAGACTATATGTCATGTTCACCCGTGATCAAATTTGGGACAAGTATAAACTTTTCTTCATTACACACTGTTATCTTCGAATTACCATTAAGATTACTAGCATTGTCATAGTAGCCTGAATTCCTACTGCTTTGTTCAATGTCACAAACGCTCACTTCAATACGATCGTTCTCTTCTTTGGGTGTTTGGTAAATACTTGAGATGTTTAGCAAGGGCGTTTCTCCACTGGTGGTATAATCATGTTCTTCTTCTAGTACCTGATCTGAGTCTGAATGACTGCGATTGTCTTCTTCTTCTTGTATATGATCAGAATGAGTGTTAATACCTTGACGACGACTACGATGGCGATTACGACTTCGGCGATTTTGATTGTCATCTTGAGGAGAAACACTATGATTGCGATTGTCCACATTAATGTTGTTACTAACATCACTCTGACCGTTATTTAAAAAACTTCGATATTGTTTTGTGTTGTGGTAACTTTCTGAGGTATGGTGACTTGATACATCTGAAGACATTTCTTTGCGAGATTTGGGATTAGAAGTACATGTTACTGATCTTTCAAACAAATTAGAAAGTCTGCTATTATTCTGGTCGTATGAATACCGACGATAGGATTCATTCAGACTCATGGTATCGTCAGGTATCTATGGAAATAGAAAATTGTGGTAAATGTAAGCACTTAATTACTTTTTCTAACCATAGTTCATGTACATGAACTAAATTATGTCTTAAAGAAAATTTGTATAAAGGCGATCCTACAGTGGGCAGGTTTGTAAACTGTTTATTACACCTTTTGTCCTTTGAAATATTTGACAGTTAAATCGACATGAGATCAACGCGAAACATAATCAGACATTATTTTTAAAAATTCATTCAAAATCCACTACTGCCAAAGATATTTCTTGGTTTGTTAATAGATTTATTTACAGAAGACTCTTATCAGCTCCACAAAATCTTAATAAATACATTATGACCTATAGACTAGAACTTTGTCGTTTAAACTAAACAGCCTAAAAATGAGGAAGTGATATTTAAGATCTAAGTAAACTTGCATTATTAAGTGCTTTATTCTTTGATTGTTATGCATTCTTGAAAAAAACCCAGAATGAGTTGAGAAGTTATAATTTGTGTAACTAGTCACAGATCATCGGTTTAACGGTATCTATAAAACTATCGATTGCCAAATGATAATCAATGTCATTTTCTTCATTTCTTTATATGAATTGAATTTAATTGATCACATGTGAAATATGTCTACTAAATTATAGGATAAAAGATCGTAGTTGACTTGCTTCAACTTTAGACAGAGAAAATCCAATCCTTAAACAAATCGCTTAATGATCTTATATAGATTAACTTTATAATCACAAACGCTAATAACTATATGTTCAGACCATCAGTAACAAGATAAATAATTACGTGTCAATTTAACGTTCGCAAATTAAACATCTCAAATGAAAATTATTGGTCCTGAACAATAATGTGTATAAAGGTGTATTTGACAGTCAGCTAGATATCACACTCAAGCAATCTTTTCTGAATTACTAAGGGATCGGAAGACTTTTCTCGACCAGAATATAGCTTACAAAAGAGCACAATAAAAAAGGTAGATTAATTTACGGATAAAGACTATGAAATAAATTTGCCTATCAAATAAGTGGTCTCCTGGAATAAATCACACTAACATCCCGAAACAATAATAAAACTAATACTTACTATACTGTGAGCTTCTGACTTTCTGGAAACGTGCAGTAAATTGGGATCACGTTTTCGTGTACGTACGCCTAAAATACTGGCAACAAATTCTGTATCAGACACGTGTTTAGTTGTTCCATTAGTAAATATACTATCATTACCGTATAAATAATTGGAATCTGTATTACCATTTGAATTACAAGTTGTTAGAAAACTATCTGTTCTTCCAAAACTCTGTGATGACATTTTTTTAATCCATGGATGATCCAATGCTTCAAGTGGATTCATTCTTTCATCTGGATTCCATTTTAAACAACGTTCTAGAAAATCTACCATATCTGGGTCAAATGGTTGTGGAATTTTATGTCCAATATTTGTTTTATCGCTTGATGGTAGGCAAACGGAAGAGTTTTTCGAACTAGTCAAGGCATCAACTAAAGTCATAGAGCCAGGTGATTTTCTTAACTTTTGACTTTTACTACTACCAGAACGTTTATGTTTAGTTGATGAAGAATTTAAAGATTTGTTAAGATTGGTTAAAGCTTCTTTTGTATTATCTGACTGTTCATTTCCATAAGTGTGTTTTTGTTGTTCAATCATATATAAAGGTTGACCATTACTATTGAAATAATGATGACTTTGACTGCCTTTCTTAATCATTTGCATCGGCGGTATCCCCAAGATTTCCATAATACAAGCTAATTGGTCGAACGCATCTTCACCTGGAAACAATGGTTCTCCTTAAAATACGAATAATAAATCAAAAAGTTAAGGAGTTTGATTACCAAACACATTTAAAGTCGTAGTGGTATTAGGAAAAATGAACATATTTTTAAGATGAATATCAATACAACAAGAAAATGCTTGTCCTTTTGACAGCAGTGTCTCATGAAAACACTAGTAGTTTCCTAATAAATATTACTAAATAATGAAAACTATTTTATTCCACCTTGTTACCCATGATATTCTTGTATTTAGAAACTTTTCATTATATTTGAAGATTTGAGTGTTTTGAGAAACTAGGATCCCTTTGTGATTAAGTTTAGATTATTTGTAGCAGTATCGTTTCATATTGATAATGGTTCATTTGGAAAACTTTTTACTTTGAATGTGAAAACTAAGGGTAGTTTTGATGTGATAATTTCAGTAGAATTTAAATGAATAGCGTAGTATTCCGATTGTAACTGTTGAAATATCAAGTAGTTATATGTACATCTGGAGAGAAAAAAAAGCCAGTTTTCAGTTCTGTTATCCTAGATTGCAACACATCTTCGGCGTTTTGATAGGTTAACTATGGGGAATAGAAATAAGTATTTCCATTTTATAATAGGCGGAACCATCTTTAGGTCAGAATTAACCTGTACTATCTTCTAATTATCAGAAATGTAGAGAATAATACAGTCAAGTCAAATTTATTAAATACCTTTACCATTGAAACATGCATGACATGTAATGCCACATAAAACATTATAATTCCCTTTTGGTTAAAATCCTGTAACTATCCAATCCATTTAATCGAGCGGTACTTCAGCTATGCTACATTGATATAATGTAACGCCCAAAGTTTCATGTGGATATTTAATGCGTATGAAATTACTTACGCGTGTTAGCCTTCGTCGAGGAGCATAGGTCGCCTACTAGGGAGGATTTTCTATCCTACGTCAGTAGAAATCCATCGGCGATTTTATTTTTTCTTAATAATGTTATAACATATTAACAAATAAACAGTCTTATATAGTTATTTTTCTTTATTAAAGTATGGATTCTTAGATACTTTTCCATGATAAACTGATTTGAATAATTTATTTCTCACTTTCCTATTATTGGTCTTTTTGAACTCGAATTTAACCTTTTTTTAAAGTTTCTGTACTATGATGTTATCTTTGTGTTTACGTGTTTCATAGCATGCTAACCAGATTTTAGTAGTCAAAATGAATTCTAATAGCAAAAGAAAATTTAAGTGTCAATATTATACAGTTGGTTTCATTTATGAATTTCATAGTAATCTCACGTAACTTACAATAATATCTTGTTAAGGAAATGTTGATCTATAGTACAAAATATGAAGATAAAGATGATTTAAGAAACTTGTTTGAACTAGTATTTAAGATATCCATTTTTTAATGATTTATTATACCATTACCATTTACAATTCAGCAATATAATTTATATAATACAACAATGAAAAAATTCAGTTGTTGATGTAATTTTTACCGAATAGTTTCTCTAGTTAATCTCGGAGTTGAGATATAGATAAAAACGGAATATTAAATAAGAAGTTATGCATTTTGACTGAATTAGTTAAAATTTATGTATTTGATATACAAATTAGCAGTTGAACATGAACATTTAATAGATATTAGTGACTATATCCTTATATAAAATCTTGCCTTTATATATTACACCATTGAGTTAATTGCTTCTATGAATCCGGTGTTCGTCTTGCTGTGCTAATAAGGTGTAGCAACTTGGACCGATGCATGTATATGCCTGGTCGTACGTTGTAACTGACTGACTGACTGAATGACTCGTAAAAAACTTAATAATTTAAGTTTAATAGAATAATTTACTCGAGTGGATAATAAATTGGTATTTAAGATGGCTTATGTATCATTACGAATCATTTTCAAGTTCTTATACAATTTAAAGCCAAGTTAGAGAATACATAATTTACAATGTTGATTGAAATATAACACATTAATTTATTATTTCTTTCCGCTTATAACCCTATGATTGTTTTGATAACTAAGAAAATAAGAAATCATACATTTTTTTTTGTTTGAAACCTGTCAGTACAATAAAAGGTTAGTTGCTTTTCATTAACTGCCTACAGTGATTGAACTTGAATGGGTATGTTTTATGTGTGATTAAGCAAACAATTCTTAATAATACTTAAATCAACAAGTCATTTGATAAGTACTGAAAACCTGATCATTTCTATTTCATAAATCTTTTAATTTACACTATTATGTAATAATCTATACAAACTAATAGGTTAACAAGTAACGTTTAATACAATAAACATGAAATAATATAAAGGACAGTGATGAATATATTCACTGTCTTTTAGGTAAGAAAATTCAGATTATTCTTAATGTAAACATATTCACGTGTACATTATCAAGATATGAAATTTCGTAGATAATTTGTAAGTATTTTTCTATGTTATATCTTTTGCTCTTTCTAAATTTAGGCAGCATCATGATTAGTGACTATGATAATACAAATAGTAATAATAATGATAACGTTTGTAAATGTCAGTGATTTGTAAAGCATCACAAGATGAAAAAAAGCCCTACACCATAAAGTTATCTAATAGAATAATTTTCAAAACAAAAGTAATTCAGTTATGTTTTTTGCTAAATGTTCCCATTTTTCAGACAAAAATATATAAATGTATAAATCTATTTTTGAAAATTAAACGGTGAAAATAAAGCTTGAATAAAATGAGTTTTCATTTATATGCACTAACACATATTCAGATGCTATAACAATTGAACTTATCGTAATTACAACTAATATCAAATAATTATCCATTTGATATGGTTATGGTTTTTTTAGTGGCTCTATATCTGACTCTAGATCAGAAGGCTGCGCGTTCCTATTACATTGCGCACACCACTTTAGTGGGGCCCTTCATTCTGACGTCAATTAGATCGGACGGTGTTGTCGTTGGGTTCACTACTTTAGTGGCCCTGGATCTGACTTCAATTAGATCGTATGATTGATTGTCATTGAAATATACATATTGTCAATCCTCGTATACAATCATCGGTTTAAATCGCGTTACTGTATAACGGAATCAAATAAGTCAAATACGAGACTGAAGTTTTAAATACGTATATTTTGTACATATTGATCTGGACAGACAATCAGAAAAACGGAGCGAAGAGAAATGACGTGCAGTGGAGAAGGCGTGTGAGACAACTTCATTTAATCAAGCGTTAATCAATATTTATAGTCACACACACGCTTATATAAAAAAATCAAGGTTGATAAGCGAATAAATAACACGGTCAAAGCGTGACTCAAGAAGGATGAATAGATTGACCTGTCCAGAAGCTAGAATAAGCTATATGGGCTTAACATAATGACCGACACTATAGTTTCACCGACTTAAAAGTTCCTTATGAAAAGTCTAGTGAAAATTATGTCAAGTTGAATCGTCGAAACATTACCAAATCTTTCATCGCTATACATTTTAGACGTTCAAGAATACATGACAAAGTATTGAGCGAATTATGTTTGAAAGATCTCAGAGAGTAAGGTGGTTTTTATGAACAATATCATGTTAAAAGTTTTAATATTTTATTAGAACAAGAAGTATATACAAGACAAAACATATCACTTAGTCTTATGAATACTCTTAGATAATCGAAAGACTGTTGTTACATGGGTGATCTAAAATTTATGTCGAGATGGTTAATTAACAGTAAATATCTATTAGCCAGCAAAATACATAATGAGTGGCTAGAGAAGTTTATCACTTTAACAAATACATGTCTACAAAATTATTTTCTCCAGATAAATTCTGCGCTTAAATGAGTTTCAAATGTGGTTCGTTTACTATTCCATGTTTGTCAAAGAAAGTGAAAACCTTTAGAGTTGAATGAAATTATTTTGCATCTCTCTGAATGCCATTTCATTATTAATAATAAATTTTATAAGCCTGACAAATCCAACAATGTATACGGCCTCGTTAATCAAAATATGTTTAAAGCTTATTATTTATTAAAATAAAGATTATAAATTCAGTATTTCATATTGGTAATGATTTCAAAACACTCTTTTTTGTACTGTCATAAATAACTGACGGCGCCAACAAACCTCTAAAAAGGTAGACAAATAGTAACAGAGTTTTTTATATTGTACGTGTAGTTGTTTGTTGAAGAACAATTACCACATGAATTGACATCAAGTTTAGATAGCATCTGAAAACCAGGAAGGAGTTCAGTATATGACTTTGTGAATCAAGCCTTATTGTTCGTAATTATGACTTAATTATGCCCGTTACCCCTCATAGAAGAACATAGGCCGCTCACCAACGCTCTCTATCCAACCCTATCCTGGGCAATCCCTTCCAGTTGTTTCCAGTCGTTACTCATCCATTTCGTGTCTGCTTCCGATTCTCAGCGCAATGTGTTCTTCAGCCTTCCTTCTTTTTGTGTTCCTTCAGCATTCCAAGTTATGGCTTGCCTCGTGATGCAGTTTGATGATTTCCAAATTGTGTGTCCTATCCACTTCCAACATCTTTTCCCAATTTCCTCTTCAGCCGGGAGTTGGTTTGTCCTCTAACACAGTATCCTGTTGTTGATGGTATCCGACCAATGGACATCGATTATGTTGTGTAGACAACTATTTATAAATACTTGCACCTTCTTGATGATGGTTGTAGTAGTTCTCCAAGATTCAGCTCCATACATTAGAACTATCTTGACGTTCGTATTGAAGATTCTGACATTGATACTGATTGACAGTTGTTTTGAGTTCAATATGCTCTTCGATTGTAGGAACGCGTCCTTTGCTTTGCCAATCCTCGCCTTTACGTCTGTATCCAATCCTCCTTGTTCATCGATGATGCTTCCCAGGTACGTGAAAAATTCCACATCATCCAGAGTTTCGCCACCAACTGTGACTGGGTTGGTATTCTCTGTGTTGTAATTGAGGATCTTGCTCTTTCGTTTGTGTATGTTGAGGCCTAATGATGCAAAGGCTGCTGGTACACTAGTTGTCTTCGTCTGCATTTGCTCGTGTGTATGGGATAGGAGGGCTAGGTCATCTGCGAAGTCCAAATCGTCTAACTGATTCTCAGCTATCCATTGTATTCTGTGTTTTCCTTTAGATGTTGAAGTCTTCATAATCCAATCAACCACCAGAAGAAATAGGAAAGGGGAGAGTAGGCAGCTTTGTCTGACTCCGGTCTTTACTTGGAATGTATCTGTCAGCTGTCCTCCATGCACCACTTTGCACTGTGGTCCGTCGTATGAGTTCCGGATAATATTGACAATCTTCTCAGGAACTCCGTAGTGTCGAAGTAGTTTCCATAATGTTCTTCTGTCCACGCCGTCAAACGCTTTCTCATAATCATTTGAGTTGATGTATAGTGACGAGTTCCACTCAACTGATTTTTCAACAATAATCCGTAGCGTCTGTGAACGACTGATACTTACGGATTCACGCAAATGAAATGAATATGTATTGCATTCATTTCACTGACATGAATTTTATTTCTGTCTGTTTTACTTATAACTAAAGTGTACAAGTTTTGGAAGTCATTCACCATAAAACACTGTTTTGGATTTAAAAAATATGCATAAATCAGACATTATTCAAATCATCTCATATTTTTGAGGTTGAATTTAGTTTCCATTTTTTTAAATTTTACTAAGTCATCTAAAATTGAAAATATTAATAAGCATATATTGTGTATCTTTTTTGTATAGTAAGTTACAATGTGTGTAAAAAAGGTTTCTTTCTACATCAGGTCACACGATGATTGATTTTATGAAATATGCACCAAAAATTAACAACCTAAACTTTGTCCTAAGAAATGATCTATCTGAATAAATAAATATTGTACTCATTATTGTAGATGATACAGATTGTTTAACATTTCACCGTTTTGTTTGGTAAATTTCGTTAGAAATATCACAGAAAACTTTCTAGGATTTACATTTCTTTTTTAGTATAGAATTCGATCTGCTATGTGGTAATAATGTGGATTCACAGTTTCAAGATTATTGATGATTTTTTTTGTTCATATAAATCATGCTAGTTGCAGTTGTTACAAAATTCTGAGTTAACAATTAACATCCGATCTAACCATCTTTCTCACTTCTACTCAATTTTGATATAACTAAAACTTCACGAAACCATGATGATCAGTTGAAAGGCCGTGAATAATGGATCCCAGTTAGCTCGGAAGTTGGACAGGTATCATCAGTGAAAATGGATAGAAGTAATGGAACACCCTGAACCGATTGATTTCAAAAATGAGGGCTAGTAGACTCTAGTTCAGTGATTTGGCTAGAACTCACTGGTTTTGATCCTTGAAGGTCAAGGGTTCAATCTATGATTGGGTTATCGTTACAGCCCATTGAAGAGTTACAAACATGACTTTAATTTTCAGTAGGTATCGGCTGAATTCATTACGTGGTATAAACTACTTTCTCAAAATTCACATTTTTAAAGCGGAATAGATATGGACTTATGTATACACCAAACAAAACAAGGTAAGTGGGAGTGGAATCTTTGGAATAGATCGCATTCGTAACAGACACATATTAAAACAATGGTGGTTACGTTACACATGGACTAGGTGATCAGGTATTGCATTTTGCTAATTCAGGTATCTGCCAAAGTTAGAATTAAACTAACTGTGTGCTAAATAACTCCGATGTCTATTCTAAACTTCACATTCTGAACTTCACACAAACCTAATATTACTAATAGCATGCTTTCGGAAGTAACTGTGTAGTAGGTAGAACAAAGCGAAGTCACTGATGAACGTTACCAAGCTCGTTTAGCAGAAATGTTTTACTCTGTAGTTTCTAAGCATGCTTTCAGTCATCAAACCCATACCTAACTCGAATTCATTCAGTCAGGTGTAACTTGTTGATTATTTTCAAAACAGGAGAATTTTACCTTCCAAATATGCTGACTGAAAATAGTATGTATTGAGTAATGTTTTAACATGATTTCGACTTATGAGAAGAGTGCTATATATACCTAAATGTAATAACTAAAGACGTTTTATTTTTTACGAAGTTTACTCTTATTAGCCGAATAGTTTAGAGATATCACTGATACCAAAGATCTTTTATGAAGAACGCTGTTTGAACCAAGAAACTGTATGTTAAGAACTGTCTTCACATTTATGGTAAACGGTATCCATGGATTTGAAAATTACTTTAAGTACGCGAACAAAATAGAACCGCTAATAAACATATCTGGTTAACTTGAAGTGTTTTCGTCTTATTGGTTACTGGATCATTCCGACTTGAGTATTAACGGAGGTGTAAAATAAATTCCTAAAAACGTTTTGATAGACTATGGGAAAAACTGATATGATACTTCAAAAACTGAACTATCCACTTATAACTCACGGTATAATAAATGTCAGCAGATGAGTTTTACCAAGTGAAATGACAATATTACAAAGAAATATAATGCAAAAGTCATTTAAAAAGCGGTAATGGTGAATAATAACAGATAAAGATCACGTAATTATACAGACGCGATTTCATCCACTTAGGATATCGGATCCTACTGATAATGAAAAATATATTTTAACCACCTAAGTATCTTTCCAGTGTCATGTCTGAGTTCTCAAGCTACATCAGGATCTTGTATAGAGAGTCAAATCAACAGACGCTTATTTAACCATTATCCTTTACTTCGCGTAATCATATCATGAAATGAATGTTTATCTACATTTTTGGCCTCTTCAAGGTCAGCAAGCATAACTGATAGTACTGATGGGTTATACTAATTCCACAATCCGTCTTAATTAACACAATGATAGCTTGTAGGATACAAGCTGCTGTAGTTCAGACTGAGTATGAATTAAGTTCGCCTGCAACCCACTGCAACCCTTCAACACCCATACCGTTACAGAAATAAGTGAATATCTAAGATGTTTTGGCTTACGGTAGTAAATGAATTTAGCTCCAGATTTACTCGAACACCTATGGAGTGCTTACATTCCAGTGATAAGTATTGTGTACCATAACTAAGGAAGCTGATAGCCAAGTGGTTGAGTTCGGGTGTTATTTAAAGGTAAGACAAAATGTTTGTCAAATCTGAGACCGAAATGCCTTCCTTGGATGTCAGTCATACGACATCCCTACTCGATCTCCAGTTTGTTATCGTTGACAAGTGTAAAATGTACGACTTGTTAACTGTGGAAACTGTGTAAAGTATAAAACAATGGTATGTATGGTAATAACTCTGAATTTTTAGTGTTACAAAACAAAATAATTATTGAAGCATTAAGATCAATATTTCACGGTAAAAAAATGTAAATTGATAGCGCTAGGTTGAATAATCTGTAAGAATAGTTTAGACTTATAATCATATTCAATTAAATGTAACTTACCAGTTATAAATTCAGCTAGAATGCATCCTAAGCTCCACATATCAATCGGAGTACCATATGGTAAGCCAAGAATGATTTCAGGTGCACGATAAAATCGTGACTGTATGTAGTTATATGGACATTCATTAATATAACAACTTGATCCAAAATCGATTACTTTGATTTTGCTTTTTCCTGGACGTCGTAATAAAATGTTTTCCGGTTTCAAATCACAATGAATCACTTTATTCCTGTAAATCATAATGACGAAAATAAATTCTATATCATGAGATTCCTGTGATTATTAAGTGTTTTATTAAATGTTGATTTTCCACAAACAGACATTGGTAGGAATGCTATTTCAGTAAACTCGAAATAGATGAACAAAGAAACTAGAACATCATATGAGAATGTACTGTAAGCATGAATCTAATGTTATGCTAAATTTTCGCAGAAAAAGAAACGGTGTCTTTCGCGTAACATTAAATTTAACGTCTTGCTGACTCATTCTGAAATCTTAACAAGAATTATATCCTTTTAATTTCAGTCCACTTCAATGTTATAAAACGTTATATTTAATATAAAAAATCACATTAATCTCTATGAGGTTATCGTTATTTGACAGATTGTTTAGAGGAATTGGTAGTTACATGCATTTAAATAGAGACTTTCACAAATAAGTCATCAGACGTTTTATCTAGTTGAAGAATATGTTACTACTAAAGTGGAATCAAAAACTGTTCCATTCACAAAATTAGTCATAGTTTTTAAATGTTACAAATAAGTGGTAAATTCTCTTAGATAATATTAATCAGTGTTTATTTGTAAAGGAATTGAGACATATCGATCAACTTTTGACAGGTTGCGTAATGTCTGTCAAGAATATTGTCGAAACATTCTTATGATAAACCGAATTGTAATGATACTTAAGTAAGAGCAAGAATATAAAATTAATGTAAGTTTGCAATAATGAAAGAAACTCAGAAAAAAGAGGGAGTAAAACTACTGTAATATATTTGAAACGTGTATTTGTAATATTGATAAGAGTTGATTTAATCTTTCAAATTCCTACCTCAGGGATTATCAGTTTACCAAGCTTCTATTCTTGTCAGGTAATCAATGAAAACTCAAGAACAACTGAAGGAAATAACTGTCCTATATCCAAGAAGAAAACTCAAGTTTCTCAGATCGATTTTGTTGTCATTTATACTTCTCTGTGGACTTAAAACACAATAAATTTGTTAGTAAACGAATCAAAACCGCAATAATAGTAGTGTAATCATATAACGAATGATTATCATAGAAGCGATCTGATCAGCAATGTTCTTAACAATGTCCAATTAAGCGCATCGTACCATTCAAGTTGAAAATCAGCCATTAGCTTATCTAAAAATCATGATTTTATGGAGAACAGTTTCAATCAGAAACACTACTGGGACAGTAGACAGACTGTGGAAAATCTACTTTTTTACTGAAAAGCGATAATAACTATGCCAACAAGCATATTTAAGATAGGCTAGTACGAGTATTAATGAGTAGGAAATGTTACGTTATTGTTGTTGGAAGCCAGACTTGAAACCATTAGCTAATGGAATTTATGTGACATTCACTTAGTGCCATTTCAGTGTTGATTTGCATGAACATATGTATTCAATCAATGTGATATTAGTGTAAGATATATAATCATTTGTTATAAGTTGTTAAAACACCTTTAAGCTTTTGAAATATTAACTTTGACTAATGAAAAATGTAGGATTGAACTAATCAAATAGAACAATTAGTAACCAATAATAATCGTAGTGAATTTTTCAGTTTTCTATCCTAATCACAGGTTAACTTTTTTTACTAAATTGTCTTCATTCAGTTCAATTTTTACATAGTTAACTTTCAAACTGATGAAATGGATATCAACTAGGAGATATTATGATATTTTGTCAAATTTTTACATTTTTTTCTCTGTGTTATCCATTCACAGTTAGTTTTGTTGACATAGAAAAAGGATATGACTAGAAAACTACTTAGTTCATTTACACCATTCAACTGGAACAATTAAATTTTTTAAAAAAAGAACGTTGATCATATAGATATGTTTGAAAACCTGTCATCTTAACCTAAATTCTTCTATGTACTTATCTGACTTCATGTTAACCAAATATAGGTCATACATTTAGTAAAACGCAACTGGCATGGTAGTAGAAAGAAAACTTGTGCAGAATAATACTATGAATAAGTAATTCTTCACTAAGTTTCCAGATTGTCACATTATCTTCTTGAAATATTAGTAACCTATACATAATCTCATTATTTTGATACTGACTGAGGAAAAAAAACGATTCGTTACACGGTACATGTAACATCAAATTAAAAATATTTTCCAAAAAAATATTTGCCAACAGGGACTGCAGCTAGAAATCATTAAAGATGATAAAAAAAGTAATGATTCGTGTTAGAAAGAAAAGTCGTCTTATTGATTATTTGAAATGGAATCATAAAAGTACTAGTGTACATGGTTTATTCATTTTTATAGCTAGAACAACTAGAGGCCTCTTTATTTTGATATGCAAAATAGGATCTTTTCAACAACAAAAAATCAAAATCATATTATAGAGAAGAATTGAAAATGAGAATAGAGCAGCAACGAATTATTGATTATTAAAATGTAAAGTTTCAAGTTTTGAGTAACACTTGAAAGCAATGCAAAAAACTCAATAGAATGTAGTTCAAAATTGTTGTGTCATAGTGGAGAGCATTAGCTTGCACTATAACTAATGCTGAAAATCAGATTTTAATAAATCTAGAAGGTAGGATTTTGGCGGTATTGCATTTACTGAGCTCACAAGATATCTGAATACAGTTTATTGATAAAGATTTGAAAAATAAAATCCTCTAAATCATGAAATTTTATGTAATTTTTCGAAATTCTTTTTACAACGGTCTTATGTCACTCGTTGAATCGATGTTTTACCATGGACAGTGCTGAAATACTTTAATATTATCATCGATTCGATTTCAGAATAAATCTGATATAAACACTATTACAGTTTTCTACACCACATAGAATTAGTTATTTAATTTCCTTTATTTTCTGTTTGTCATTCAGAGGTGGCTACTTGGTTATGAGTCACTTAACTTCCAATGGCCACAAATTCTCATCAGTTATAAGATAAAAAAAGGTAATTATTGATTTTTTTAACTAAAACAGTTAAGGATGAGTATTCTGGCTCAATACAGCAACCTTTGGAAACTTTTGGTAAATAATCATTAACAAATTGTTGAGTTTAACAAAAACCGTTGAAAATAACATGAATTAATGGATAAAGCAGTCTCTGATTCATTTTTTAAAATGCGAAAACCGAGGATATATGATTCATTTCACTTACAACTATATTTTTAGGCCTCTGTTATCCTTTAAAAAAGCCTCCTTAAACTATATGAAGTAATGGCCCACTGGTTAAAATCAACGGTATCTAAACAATAGATTTCAAGTTTGAGTACAATACCATGTATTAGTACCAGCTGATCAGTCTCATTGGCCTTCACATAAATATGTTGATCATAAATTAATAGATGAAACTGTAATTGACAACTGAGTTATAATGTATTATTATTTCTGTGAAAACCTATTTTAAAATCTTGGAGATCCTGTATGTCTAAACTTATCAAGTACCCAAATTGTATTCTAATGTTCAAAATGACTTATTTTACTGAGCTATGTTGACTAAACGTTCAGTTATTATTAAAAAAAGAACACAAAATTATATACTGTAATGAATTATGTGCTATTCTCTATGATATACAATACATTTTAAACTGATGCTAATTTGTCATGAAAATGTTATTTAATCTATAATCACTCTTGACATAATCCATCAAAATATCTCATATAATTGTAATTTTATACATCAACCTGTGATACTTCATTCATGCTAAGGCATTACGTACATAAGTTAAATCAATATTCGAAAGACAAACTGGTGTTACCTAGACCATAAAAAAAATATTTTTTTTTGAATCGTTTTTCTAATTATCTAACTTCATTCACAAATAGATTTTGTTTATTTTAGTTTATTTTAGAATTCGTTTATTTTTTTTTCTCTCAAGTGTTTTGTTTGTAAAATTATGTGCATGACGGTATGTGAAACATCAGAATAACTAGAGATCATAAGTTATCAGTAGACATATAATAGTAAAGGAGCATAGATTAATATTGAGAAAGAAAACTGACTTATAAACCTATCATGAATAAATGAAGGTCATTTCAGTTTAAATATTCGTTCTATATGGATAAAAATTTACATAATTTTTTTTAAAAAATGACTACTTTGTAAAAACCAATGTCATGTTATCTGATACAGAGTACCGATCAAGTTTTTTTTTCTATCAAATGTCAATCCAATTGCTAGTTTAGGTAACTGTACATTACTTTGCTTGATATTAGCTGGTTACTGTCAAAGTTTTAACATCTTAACTGAAGGTTTATTTGAATAAGATACGTGTTTAAATTATATATTATTTCTACAATAACTTTTGCATTTCAAGTTTGTGTGAATTTCATAATGAAAGACCAACCATAAAGATAATTTTTTTAAAGACTTGAGAATGATCTGTTAGTTCTAAACTCTTTTGTCACATCGAGTTCAATGAAGTTCTTTTCACACTAGAATATGTTACACTTAATTATGAGTTGCTACAAGTGCGCTTAATAGCTTTTGGAGGTTTAAATTAACTAGTTATTATGGTTTAGTTGTTACGGTTTTCTACATTTGATGGGCTTTAGTTTACTATGCGATGAATTTAAATGATCCATTGTTTCTCTTGATTAACTTAAACACTTTTATGCACACACTAAGTAAGCTTTTAATCTTCTTGTTACATCTAACACTTGTGATTTCAGTTAAAATAATAATAGTAATAAGGATAGGAGAATGTATAAAAAGTGCACTAAGTACCATTTAAAGCTTGAATTGATACATTTGGTAATCCTATATCGCTGCAGCTAGATTATCTAATTATGAAGAGTTTATTACCAGTTTAATCAGAATTATAAGATTATATTTTAAACAAACATATCCTGAAGGACAATGATATCTTCACCGTAGAGCTCATCCAGCTCAAAAAATCCAACAGTACTAAATGTTACATTTATCAGACTGTAAAGTAGTTAGTTCAAATAACCTAACTTTTTCAAAACAACAATCATTATTCTACAGGAATCTAATTTATCATGGAAGGTGGCCATAGTCTCAACATG